CGAGGGGAGTTGTTAGAAAGAGGGGGCCCCCTCTGAGCCCCGCCGTCCCCGCTGCGCAACGGCTCCGCTCCAGGCCTCCCTGACACAGTCGCGACACAGCAGCAGGTGGATTTTTAATGATTTAACATTTAATAGACGCTTAAGAAACGTTTGCGAGTGTCCGTCTCGGCCCGGTCTTCTCCTCGAAGAGCCTGTAACCCGACTCGCAGCCTCACGAACCATCCATCACGCGCCCTGTTCGTCTAGAAAAAGCTCAGTGTCCTCATCATCCCTTATTACAGCGAAACAAAACTTAGAGAATTCAAGGTTGTAGCTGCGTCAGCATGCGTAGGCTGCAAAGGAACAAGCAAAGGTTTATTGCTACTGAAAAGAAAAGAAACACAACGTTTTGACAGTGGAAACGCACCCGAAGAAGTCTTCTCCACAGCCGAAATGTTGTTTCTTCTCTTCTCTAAGCACGAAATAAACCTCGACTCGTTCCTTTGCAATACCGAGAGACGCCCGGGAGATGACTAACAGGAAAGACGCCCTCATTCCTAAGATCACGGCGTCCGTTTTTCGAACGTTCGTGAAAAGCAATCGGGCCGCAGAAAAAGACATTCGTGGGTAATTTTTTTAAATAGCGAAAAAAAAAAACGGATTGTATGCCATGATTTCATAGCTGAGAGATGAGAACAGTAACACTCGACGGAATCGCCGCCCACTGGTTTCGAGAAGGATTCTGCTCTGCGTGTCCATATCACCGTTGCTCTTAACAGGTGTCACATCAAGCCTGTCGGCAAGAGTTTTTGACCTGCTGCCGATGGGGGGGTTGTATTGTAAAAGGAGGAGCTGGTGTGTTTCACCAGCCTTGTGATCGGGGGTCAATATTCGGGCTGTTGCTGCTTCTGCCTTTGAGCCCGAAGACCTGCAGCGAGCTGGAAACTGCTTTAAAATCTAGACTCTGAGCTCGTCTTTCCATATGACTTTCTATAGATAGGCCTTATCTGATCGCAAACCACATAGTTCCTTACTTTTCACCTTTGTTCCGCTGTATCTACCATTGTACACTTGACACTGCTCTGCGTTTCTGTTTTATTTAGCTTGAATCCCACGTGTGACAAGGAACTGAGCTGCACCGCCTGTGGCCGCCCGCATTATTTTTATATGTGTGTTTTAGAATACAAATAACGAAAATAGAGATGGCGTTTATTGCGCAGGAAAGTGAAGTGCAATCTTCTCGGAAACCCATTTTTCTAATGCGAGTCTGCCTGTGCCAGTTTCCACTGCCCCGGGTTCGGGATCAGTTAAAATAACACCGCTGTAGCTGAACAAGTTCAAAGACGTTCGATTAATTTGGCTCTTAATGCTTCACAGACCATTATTAGAAATGGGAACCTTGCTCTAACCGAACACCACATTCTAAGCGAAAATACTGTATTCTGTGTGGATTACTGCATTGTTAATCTCTTCTGTAACTACCAGTTTATAAACTTTGGTTTAACATATTGCTGTTTCACTATCTAAAAGCTGTTATAAATTACACATTAGTTGGATTAATAAATGGCAAATTGCTTAGTATTGCTTAAACAGGATGTTTTTAAGGATGTGTGTATTATGTATTCTTACGACATTAAGTGAGCTTTTGCAGAATTTTGTATGTTATCGGGATTAATACGAATTAATCCACAACGTGATAATTCTGATTCTACAAATTGCATAACCTTCCTGACAAATATTTTAAGATAATCGTAATTCGGAATTTCTTAAACTTAATAACCCCAAACATCCTTTTTTTAAAAAAAAAAATCCCTCACCTGGTAATGTAAAATAAATTCAACATGTAAATTAGATTGAAATGCTGTACAATGGTGATAAACAAAATTATCGTTACACTTAGAGGGCACTTTTCTGGCCACTCCATTCAAAGCGCTTTTCTGGTAATGGGAACAACAATAAACACCTTTAAAAGTGGCTTCTGAAAGCGCTTTACAGTAAGAAATGTTGTTATTTAGAATTTAAGTGAGAGGAGAGGAGTAAGAGTAGAGAGGAGAGGAGTAAGGAGGTGAGAGGAGAGGAGTGAAGGGTGAGAGGAGAGGAGAGGAGAGGGGTAAGAGTAGAGAGGAGAGGAGTAAGGAGGTGAGAGGAGAGGAGTAAGAGTAGAGAGGAGAGGAGTAAGGAGGTGAGAGGAGAGGAGAGGAGTAAGAGTAGAGAGGAGAGGAGAGGGGTAGAGTAGAGAGGAGAGGAGTGAAGGGTGAGAGGAGAGGAGTAAAGGGTGAGAGGAGAGGAGTAAAGGGTGAGAGGAGAGGGGTAAGAGTAGAGAGGAGAGGAGTGAATTGTGAGGTGAGAGGAGAGGAGTTTACGACCACACGTACACGGACACGAGTTCTTAATCACGCTGATCTCTCGGGACACACACAACACCACACAGTGTACACGGGAGGAACGAGAAAATAGGTGGTGGAAAAATAAACATGTAGTAGTGAGACCAGAAACAACAGCGTGGCGGAGCACGGAAAAAGTGCGCAGTGCAGATGCGTGTGGAGTCTGAGCCCCGCAGTGGGCTGGCGGCTGCTCTTGAGGCCGGTGGTCCTTGCTAAGCGCTACGCTCCCCCAGGGCCCACAGCCGCCCCCTGTGAAGAGATCCCTCTGCTGACCGCACACATCCAAGAGCTCGGGCCCTGCAGCCGTATTCACGGTCCGCCCCGTCCACACGCTCGCTCGAGTCGAGCCCGTGCAAAACTTTCTACAGCCCTGACGATTGTGCCCCACCCACACCCCCCCTTTTTCCATTTTCCCAATCAAACAATTTATGCGACGTTTGCCAACTATGCGGGTGATCAGAATAGTTACGTCGAAGGGTGAAACGCGCAACATACAGCATCCGTGCAGCACGAAACTGACCTGAAGAAAAGGCGATTTAACAAGCTGGCCATTCGCGAATCAGTTCGAATAATTGCGCATTTACACTAAAACACTGTAATACTTTGTCGCTAGGAGTAGTTACGGAACATATTATTTCCTTTTCACCTTTGACACCAAAAAAGCCGACTGCCAAGGCGATCGAAACGAGGACTTCAGGTGAGAGAGACACGTTCCCGTTACATCCACGGGAGGTGTGAGCATTTTAGACAGACTCTTTCTAAGAAGAGTTGTCACCGTGGCGAAGCTGACTCGTCTGGGGGCAGAGAGTGCACGCTGAACTGACGTGATGTTTGATGTGCGCTCCTGACTCATTCTGGACCTCAGTCATTTCAGCCGAGCGCGGCCTGCTACCTGAGAAAGTGAGTCGGCCTTCGCCGTGGCGCTGCGGTGTGAGACAGCTCGCGTCAGGATCCGAATCAGAGAAACTCGGCGACCCCTGTTTTTTTGCTTTTTTTAAAAAAAAAACGCAGAAGAAGAAAAAAAACAGCTAACAATCCCGTGTGAACGTGCACACGTGTGAACCGACGTTAGCGCTGACCTTATGCGAGCAGACCAGAGGACACGCGTGGAGTTTCTGCAGAATTTCGCTGTGTTCCGCCCGTGAGGTTTTCCAGAAAAGAAGATGAGACTTTACCTTTCTTGCGAAAAATGTTTTTAGTTTCTCATGTGACTAAAGCATGTAATTATTCTAAAGGTACCTTCATTTATTCCTTTTGCTCCGTATAGTTGCCTCTGAATAATTCAATTCGATGCAATTAAACTGTGAACCATTTCCAGCCTCTATAGCTGTTACCCTGCGCATTCGCCGTGGTGGAGACTCGCGTGTGCCAGTTTTGGGGGTAAATAACTGCTTTTATAAATCCGCTGTAACTGCACCCTTTAGACAGGGATGAAGCATGATGAATAAACACGAGAGATCTTTATCAAAGGTTAGTTTCCATCGGGTATTGATTGTTAGCGCTCCGTAATTGTATAACATCTTGTAAAGAAAGTGTTACTCTAGATTTCACGTCCCAACACCACACCGAGCGAACAGATGAGACACCGTGAAGTACATTAGTAAGCAATAGACGGTAGATCTTAACATCTGCTGTCTCCCCCCTGTATTGAAGAGACTGACTACCAGTAAGTACACAAAAGGTTATAGCACAGTTACTCAAACTCTAAACCCAACGGCGGAGGTGTCGGCGTGCATTCACGTACGTGAAGCAATCGTTACGATGATTCGCCTATAAAGCAAGGTGCATGCGCCATCATTTTTGTTTTGACAAAAAGCACGAAAAAGTTCGCTTCATTTCTAAATATAGCTGACCCCTCCAGTTTCTGTCGCTAATTTCCTGTCGGGCTCAGCTGAAAAGGACACTTGGCCTTTTCGTATTACCAAAATACATAAATTACACATCCCGGTGCGCGTGATCGAGGTGGCATCCAGACTAAGAAGTGAACACTTCTCAAGAATAGAAGATGTTGTAGTTGACGCGTCTGTATATATGATCAAGGGTATATTTTTCAGGGTTTCATCTATATAAAACCTCTGGATAAAACATAGATTCAAACGATTTCTCTCTTGTGTACAGTTGCTATATTATTATTATTGTAATGAGCTCATGAAACAGACATCTTTCTTCCGAGCTCTGAAAGGAGGTCTCGTTCTGACACGTCGGAAACTGACACCCTGCTCTTAGTTGTGGTGTGTCTATGAGACACTGGCCGGTACCCTCCAGGTTGGAAATGCCATCTGTATTTCTTAGCAAATTGTTGGATTTTCCTCAATGGATAAGTAGCGCCAGATTGGGAAAACACTTTCTGCCCTGTTGCAGTGCCACCAGCAGGCCTCTGAGATCTGGTCTGTTGATCTCGTTAGCATCTCTCTGCAGTGGTTTCAACAACAACCTCTTATATTCACAGGCTGAACACCATCGTCGGCTATTACAACCCGGCCCCAGTGTAATTACATGGTAATAACCGTGTTTGTGCCCAGTGCACCAGTGCCGAGCTCTGCTCCCTCCCCCGCTGCCAGGCCTGCCCTGGCCCGCTGTGAGCTGGTGCGTTTTCCCGAATCCCGAAGCAGAGAGAGAGGGGAAGCCGGATCTTACCTGCAGTCGCTTTCCCAGGAGCAGAAGGGTGGTCCTCTCTGACGGGCGCGCTGACGCGCTGCCAGGGGCGCCTCGCTGGCACGCCGGCCGCCGGACTGGCACTGCCCTCCCTGCTTCCCCGGACCAGCTGACCTCCTGCCTTGCTTGGCTCCAGGCCTGCCTGACCCTCCTCCAGCTGCGTGTCTCTGCCTGCCTGTCTGCTGCACCTGTCACCCCCCCGGTCACACTGTCTCGCCCATCGCCGACCGACGCAGGGACCTGTCCCCCTCTCCTGTCAGCGTGCTCACGTGTGGCGGCTCGCCTAATCGCCTGTCGGTGTGTCTGTCTCTCCCGTCTGTCTGTGAGTCTCCGTCACCCTCCACCCCTCTCTCTCTCACTCTCTCTCTCAGTCCCAGTACCTCCCCTGTGCTCCACACACAGGCTGAGTCACTGCGCTTCTCCCTCTCTCACACAGATCGACGAGGCCTCTGTGGGTCGCGCTCAGCGAACGGGGGAATTTCTTCGTTCGTCTCTTCGGCTTTTTTTTTCCCCTTTTCGAGCGAAACGACAAACTTTTTTCTCTCTCTCCTCTGCTCGCCGACTTTCTGCTGGCTCTCCCCAGCCTTGTGAGAGGTGATCTCTGGGCTGGGCTGGGCTGGGGGTGGGGAGGACAGACGAAGAGGAGAGAGTGTGACAACGAAGGAAGCAGAGCGAGCGATGGAGAGAGATAGAGAGCTGGAGAAAGTGCAGGCAGGTGAGAGAGAAAGCAGAGAACACACCCTGCTGTCTCTGAACCCGGTTCGGCCACACTCGGGCTCCAGTACAGAGATCCATTCTGGCTGCGTGCCTGACCTCAGTTCTGACCCAATGTACGACACCATGATAGAGCTTGTGTGTGATGCACAGAATCTCCCAGTCCTGTTCCCAGTGCCTGGTGCTGCAAACGGGGTCCTAAATGCAGCTGGGGCAGATGGGAGGGGAGGGCAGGGCAGTAATAATAATAATAATAATAATAATAATAATAATTCCTCACACTTCTGTAGCGCTTTTCTGGACACTCCACTCAGAGCTCTTTACAGGTAATGGGGATCCCCTCCACACCCACCAGTGTGCAGCCCCACCTGGATGATGCGCCAGTCCGCTCCCCACACACCAGCTCTCAGTGGGGAGGAGAGCAGAGTGATGAACCCAGTTCAGAGATGGGGATTATTAGGAGGCCATGATGGGTAAAGGCCAGGGGGAAATTTGGCCAGGACACTGGGGTAACTCCCCTACTCTTTTCAAGAGACGCCCTGGGATTCTTAATGACCACAGAGAGTCAGGACCTCGGTTTTATGTCTCATCCAAAGGACGGCGCCTGTTTACAGTACAGTGTCCCCGTCACTATACTGGGGCATTAGGACCCACACAGACTGCAGGGTGAGCGCCCCCTGCTGGCCCCACTAACACCTCTTCCAGCAGCAGCCTTAGTTGTACCCTTGGTAGTACCCTCCGCTCAGCTAGACCTGCATCGCCTGCCTCTGGAAGAGTGCTCAGGGGGACGCCGGTGGAGTGACGTTCTCTCACACAAACGGCATCATGGGGACGTGCTTGCGTGAAGCAAAGTGGTGCGCCGCAGCCCTGCAGGGGGCGCTAACACGGCCAGTGTGCCCCAGGGAGAGCACGCATCCCACTGCGGGCGTGCGAATGAAACGCCTTTCTGTCGCCTGGCGCCTGTCCTGACACGTGAACTTGAGATGCTGCTGGGGATGTTAAACTGCAGGAGCCTGAGGAGCCTGGAGTGGGACTTAGCCAGGAGATTAACACCAGAGCAGACCTCTCTCTTAACACTGGTCTGTGATTTTACGGTCTGACGCAATTAAGTTAATTAACAATTATTTTTAGGTTCGGCACTCTGCGTCTCCCGTACTATGCTGTGGCTTTGCTGTCAGGTGGGGTATCCGAGATGCAGAGGGGACTCCTGTAGCAGTCCTGCTGCCCTGAGCTCTCTTGGTCATTGCTTGTAAGAGTGCGCCATCTAGTGGCCATTGTACACCCTGCACCCAGCGCTTCACATTCCGCCTTAAAACTGAAACTTCCGTTCTACTTTCAACCCAATTTTTTTACACAAAATCACTTTTCTTCTGTGTACATTGAAGTCAGTGAGTGGATTTATTCTGCCGTGTAGCACTGAAAAGGTCGTTTGATATATATTAGTAAGTAAATACAGACCTCCGTTCACACCCTGCTGACTTCATGGGCTTCCTCCCGCGGATTGAAACAAGTCTTTGTATT